CACTGAGCAACGGCCGGAGGGACTGCCCCCCCAGCCCCTGCCCCCTTGTGCTGATGGAGGGGGGAAGGAGATAGCTGGGAAGATGGGAGGGGTGCAGGTAAGGGAGTGTTTTTAAGATCAGGTTGTATTTATTTATGTGTTCCTCTCACTGTCCTGCTCCATAAATGGTGGTGGTAAATTAAATTTATGTCTTCTCCCCAAGTCTCTCTGGTTTATTACCCATCATCTTAACTGGCACATTATTATCCTCTCTGTCCTTAATCTCAATCCTTGAGCCCTTTATAGTCGAATTTTCTCCCTCCACATCACTGTGGAGAGAGGGATGGGGCAGCAGTGAGCAAGCGACCCTGTGGTTCTTTGTTGCTGACCCGTGCAGTCAGCTCTAACCACGACCGGGCTCCAGAGCTGGACACAGCACTGCAGGTGAGGTCTCATCAGAGCGGAGCCGGGAAGAACCACCCCTTCACCCGCTGGCCACGCTGCTCTGGATGCAGCCCGGGATGCCACTGGTCTGGCCGTGCGTGCACAGTCGTGGCTCGTGTCCACCGTTTCGCCCACCAGCACCCCCAAGTCCTTTTCTGCAGGGCTGCTCTCTGTCACATCGTCCCCAGCCTGTCCTGATACTGCGCATTGCCCAGGCCCAGGTGCAGGACCTTGCACTTGGTCTCCTTGAATCTCACAAGGTTCACATGGGCCCACTTCTCCAGCTTGTCAGGGTCCCTCTTGTCACCACCTGTCACCCATCCGCACCTGGACATCGAGCCATTGACCACTACCCTCTGGGTGCAACTGTCCAGCCAATTCCTTATCCATTGAGCAGCCTACTCTGCAGATATGTGTGTCTCCCACAGAGAGAGACGGGTGTTGTGGGGGACTGTGTCAAAGGCCTTGCAGAACTCCAGCTAGATGACATCCCTGGCTCTCCCCTTGTCCACTGATGCAGTCCCTCCACCATAGAAAGCCACGAGGCTGGTCAGGCAGGACTTCCCCTTGGTGAAGCCGTGCTGGCTGTCTCGAATCATCTCCCTGTCCCCCGTGTGCCTTAGCAGAGCCTCTAGGAGGATCAGTTCCATGATCTTCCCAGGCACAGAGGTGGGGCTGACAGATCAGTAGTTCTCCTTACCACCCTTTTTTAAAACGAGTGTAATGTTTCCCTTCTTCTAGCCCCCAGGGACTTCACCTGACTGCCAGGATTTTCCAGATATCATGGAGAGTGGCTTGGCAACTACACCTGTCAATACCGTCAGGATTCTGGGATGCATCTCATTAGGCCCCACAGACTTGTGTACATTCAGGTTCCTCAGATGGTCACAAACCTTGTCTTCACTTACAGTGGGTGGAACTTTGTCCCCTTGGTCCCTCTCTTGCGGTCCTTCAACTCGGGAGGTGTGAGGAGAGAGGTTGCCAGTGGAAAAGGAGGCAAAAAGGTTGCTGAGAACCTCAGCCTTCTCCTCACCTGTTGTTACTAGCTTGCTGTTCCGGCTGATCAGGGCGGGTACACTTTCTCTAACCTTCCTGTTCTGGCTGACAGAGCTGTAGAAGTCCTTCCTGTTCTCTGCATCCCTTGCCAAGTTCAGCTCCAGCCACGCCTCGGCCTTCCTGACCGCATCCCTACACACCTGGGCGGCGTCCCTGTGTTCCTCCCAGGATACCCATCCCTGCTCCCACTGCCTGGGCTTTTAGTTCAACCAGCGGGTGTCGACTCAGCCTTTCTTGCCTGATTTCTTACCCCTGGGGGGCGGATCTCTCATGCCCTCTGGAAAGTGTCCTTAAAAGATCTCCCAGCTCTGCTCTGCTCCCTTGTCTCTGAGGACCGTTTCTCACGGGGTCCTACTGACTAATTCTTTGAAGAGCTGGAAGTTTGCTTCCTAAAATTTCAGGTCTTTACTGTGCTCCTCATCTCACTCCTGCCCCTCAGGACTGTGAACTCCACCAGTGTGTGATCCCTCCAGCCCAGGCTGCCTGTGATCTTGACATTCCTGATGATCACACTTGTGCTGGTGACCGTCAGGTCCACCATCACGTCCTCCCAGGTAGGGCTGTCTGTTTCCTGGCTTAAGAAATTCTGGTCAAGGCACTCCAGGCGTCTCCTGGGTTGCCTACAGCTTGCCGTGATACCTTCCCAGCAGGTGTCGGGGTGGTTGGAATCCCCCCGCAGGACAAGAGCCTGTGAGCGCGATGCCTCCTGTAGCTGGAGTGAGGAGGCTTTGTCAGTCGACTCCCCGTGATCGGGTGGCCTGGGGTAGACACTAGCCACAAGGTTCCCCTTGTGCCTCGGTCCCTAGTTCCTACCCATAAGCTTTGAGCTTGCTCTTGGCTATTCCTGAGGGACATCTCTTCACACTCTGTCCATTCATAACACAGAGGGCAACACTCTCACCCCTCCTTCCTTGCCTGTCCCTACTGAACACGCTGCAGCCATCGACAGCCACACTCCAGTCACCAGTGCCAGGTGCAGGGGGACAACCCCTCCCTGCTCCTGCTGGCAGCACCATTGCTGACCCAGATCAGGATGCCGTTGGCCCTCTTGTCCCCCTGGTCCAGCCGCTTGCCCACCAGCACCCCCAGGTCTCTCTGCCTGGCAGCTCCCCAGCCACTCCTCCCCAGGCCTGTAGCGCTGCCGGGGGCTGCTGTGGCCCAAGTGCAGGACCTGGCATTTGGCCTTATTGAAACTCAGCACATCAGTCTAGTCTGTTTAATCCCTGTGCAGAGCCTCCCTGCCCTCCAGCAGATCGACACTTCTACCCAGCTTGATGTCGTCTGCAAACTTGCTGAGAGCGCAGCCAATGCCCTCATCCAGGCCACTGACAAAGATGTTCAATAGGACTGATGCCAGCACTGAGGGACACCACTCGTGGCTGGCTGACCACCACTCTCTGGGCACGGCCAGCCAGCCAGTTTTTCACCCAGTGAAGAGTACGCCCATCCGAGCCATAAGCAGCCAGTGTCTCCAGGAGCATGCTGTGGGAAACTGGTAGTAAAGTCCAGACGGACACCACCCACAGCCCTTCCCTCACCCACTAAGTGAGTGAGCATGTGGTGAAAGGACACCAGGTTAGTTATGCAGGATCTGCCTCTCATAAATCCATTCTGACTGGGTCTGAGCATCTGACTGTCCTGCAGGGACGGCATGAAGATACTCAGGATGATCTGCTCCATCAGCTTCCCCAACATTGCAGTCAGACCGACAGCCTTGTAGTTTTCTGGATCCTCCTTCTGGCCCTTTCTGTAGATTGGTGTCCCACTGGCCAATTTCCAATCTGCTGATATATGATGGGAAGTGGTTTGGTGAGCACCTCCACCAGCTCTCTCTGAACTCTTCGGTGGATTCCATCCAGTCCCACAGACTTGTGTCCAAGTGGTGCAGGTCACTGACCACCTCTTTCTGGACTGCAGGGGGACCATTCTGCTCCCAGTCTCTGTCTTCCAGCTCTGGGGGCTGGAGCCCCAGCGTATTACTAAAAACTGAGGCAAAGGAAGCATTAAAAACCTCAGCCTTTTCCTCATCTTTCACCAGCATCCCTTGAGGTGTTTCACTGATGTTTCCCTGTTGGTTCCTACTACCTCAGGAGCCCCTGGCTCATCTCTGTAAGACTTGAACTGGGCTGCAGTGTCGCCACCACATCTCAGGGCAAAGGCTGAAGGCCCTTACTAGCACCCGGTCCCTCTAAGCCCGGTGTGTCATCCCACAGCTTGTCACAGACAAGCCTGGTGTTATTATCTCCCGCCCACTCGACATCTTGTTTAAAGCCCTGTCAATCTGCCCCACAACCTCTTGAGCAAAAACCCTCTTCCCTCTTTTGATACCAGCAAGTCTGGTGACGTGTGGGCCATCCCACTGTCAAAGAAAAGCAAAATTGTGGTGGTGACACTAGCCATGGAGCCGTATATTAACAGACTGGATCCATCTGTACTTTCCAAAGCCACTGCCTGCAACTGCAAGGAGAGAAGAAAAGAATAACCTGTGCCCCATATTCCCTCAACAACCATCCCAAGGCCTTTAAGTCTCTTTTGACTGCTCTTGGGCTACAAGAAACAGCTTCCTCTTCACCTACATGGAAAATCAAGATCACTCCATCAAGTCTCACCTGTGGGGATTTGACAGCGGCAGATTTCTTCAGTGCTGGCACCTTGGCAGCTTTTGGACCTGGTGTCTCACGTGAACTTCTGGGGGGTTGCGGGACAGCAGAAGGTGGCTTTGTTGTTGCACACGGTTTGGCAAGAGTTTTTAAAGCGCTGTTAGACTTTCCAGCTGTCACAGTGTGCTGGTGTGTCCTGGAAGTGCTCGCCTCCTCCTTGGAGAGCATGCTTGCCAGTTTGGGAGTGCTGATATTTGGCCAAGCTGAAGAGCTCTTTTTCTGCTGACTGATGGACTTGGGAAGAGGCGTAGGTGGTGGTGGTCTGCTGGGAGCATTCTTGATTACATCAGGTAAAGGAGGAGATCGTGGGCGCTGAGGTCGGGTTTGTGACTGGGTGCTCTGAAACAGATGCGGGTACAGCGAGAGAAAGGATAGATGAGTTGCGCACTGCTTTTCAGAGCAGCTAAGGATAGCGCAGAAGAATAAAAAGCACACCAGGGCATTCTATTTACCTCCCCTGCAGGCCGTGTGGTCACTTCCAGAGGCAGTTTCTTTAAGTCAGCCTGAGATCGAATTGGAGTGGTTTTCTATTTAAAAAAAAACACCAAAAAAACCCCAGAAAGACCATCTTTAAAAGCACTCAGGGCATGTCTGAAACCAGCCCAGCAAACACTTTTCCAGTTTAAAACAATTGTAAAAGTGCGTGCTCTACATCCTTCAAGAAACATCTCTTTACCAGCAGTCACTCCCATTTTCCTAGCAGAAAGCAAAACACAAGCAGAGATGCTTGTTTTCTGTTATTTAAACAATGCCTACCCCAGGAAATTGCACAGGTGGCCCCAGAGGCTAACCCAGACACAACTTGGCACCACCCATTTGCACGAGGAGGTCCCTCAAACCTGCCGTGCTTAGCTGGAGACCTCCAGATTCACCTGCAGAGCTTCCAGCTTTTCCTGCTGCTGGCGGATTTTCTCTGTCAGTTGTTTCTGCTTTTCCTCCTGTGATTTCAAGTCTTTCTTCAGAGTGCCCAGTGGTACCTTCTGCTTCTGCTCTGCAGCTTCACATCTAGCAGGAAGAGCATGCAAGGCAACCTCAGCAACAACAGCAGTGTCTCACACACACAGCCCTGTCCCCATCGCCCTTCCCAAATCCAGCAGCAAACCCCCTTTCCTCTCCGCGGGAGCCACAGTCTCAGAACCAATGGCTCCCTTCTCGGGAAGCACACACCCAATTTAAGGAACAAAAGCAGAAGCCTAGAACAACAAGCCATTTATGCCAGGAATTACCAATTCCAAGTCCAGGAGCTAAACAAAGCTTAGGAACAGCTACGCCTAGTTTTCTATGCTCTTTCTGTACTCCAGACTTCTACAGCAATGTTCCTTCCGATCAACTTAGATCTTTCACATCAACTCCTCTGTTTACAGATTTCCTTTTCGTTTAGAAAGGAAAGCTTATTACCAGCAGCCCACAATTAAGATGTCCTTTATGTGAGCCTCCCAACAGAAGGTGTGCTTCACCCTCCTGCCCAAGGCCACAAAGTTTTCCTTTGCAATATTCCTTAATTATTTGTTTTTCCCACCCTGTTCAGCTTATGGCCTCCAAAACAGTGGTGAGTGGTCCTATGCTCCCTTAGGTCCTCTCGGATGCAGAAATCGCCCTTGAGAGAGGAGGAAAACGCAGGTAGGAAATACGTAAAAGTGGACTGGCATCACCTTCACTCTTGTGGCCATCAGGGGCACTGCCAGAGGAAGAGGAGGCTGAGGGGTTCCCGGGCTCATGTGCCATGGCAGAACTGAGTCATGGACAGGCATTCCGGGATCAATGCCTTCAGGACGAAGTCAGGAGAGCTGATGTGAGACAGGAAAGCCACGGTACCAAGATAACTCTGGCATAACACAAGAGATGCAGCCGACTCCTTCAGTGCCTTGGAGCCAAGCTGTTACAAATTTCCCACAAGAGTGAGTCTTACAGATCAAGGGAGGATCCTGCTTGTGCTGGGGATCACACAGAGCTCCAGGAGGCTGATGATAGATGATTTTACCAAGATCTCCGACGCTCAACCTGCCAACTGACAGGGTATTCCCTGGTTTGCAAGATACATACTGTGAGCCACAGAGATGATGGAGGGATGGAACATCTCCCTGGGGAGGAGAAGCTGAAGGAGCTGGGGCTCTGCAGCTGGAGAAGAGAAGCCTGAGGGGTGACCTCAGTCATGGTTATAAATACATCAAGGGGGAGTGTCAGGAGGACGGAGCCAGGCTCTGCTCAGGGATGTCCAATGACAAGACAAGGGGCAACGGGTACAAGCTGGAACTTAGGAGGTTCCACAAAAATCATGGGAAAAAGTTTTACGCTGTGAGGGTGCCGGAGCCCTGGCCCAGGCTGCCCAGAGAGGGTGTGGAGTCTCCTGCTCTGGAGACTTTCCAACCTGCCTGGACGCGTTCCTGTGCGATCTGCTGCAGGTGATCCTGCTCTGGCAGAGGGGCTGGACCGGATGATCTTTTGAGGTCCCTTCCAACCCCAACATTCTGTGACTCTGTGATTCTGTGAGCACAAGCAGCAGTTTCTCCACCAGCCTCTCCTCAGCAGAAGCAGTGCAGGGAGTTTTTCATAGCTCAGTTACTTCCTCGGCTAAGAAAGTGTCATCCTCACTGCAGAATGGCTGCCTGACTCCAAAGCTGCACTTCTCAAAGACCAAGCTGAACAAGTGGCACCCCACACAAGCTTGCCTGCAGAGAAATGCCATCGCCTATGCCACTGCATGGATCGACGCTGAAAATGTTGTTAAGCTGTACTTACAGCACATGGAAGGATGAAAGTGACTGTTAATTCTTCCAGGAGGAAAAAATAAAGGCTATTCACGACATTCGAAACCACGGACTGCACCACGAGAGGCAAGTCAGGAAAACAGTAACTATCTTTGTAATCGGAAGATCTGCAAGCCAACACCAAGGTTTTGGTGCTGCTCAAGGACCTGTGAGCCAGAGTCATCTTCGGTTGGTGTTTCAGCCATGAGTCTAAACACCATTGAGGATCCAAAAGGATTTTAGGCAGAAAAAGGGAGAAGAGCAAGCCTGATGCTGAAACACAAGCCTGACGCTGAAACACGAGCCTGACGCTGAAACACGAGCCTGATGCTGAAACACGAGCCTGACACGCTGCCTTCTCTGTGGCAAAGTGAGCGATGGTGCGGCTTGGTGCTGACCCCACCACAGACCGTGGCTTTGGAAGGGGTGTCTGCTTTACACGAGGGATGCAGAAGGGCACTGAGCTCCAATGATCCAGGACAACATGTCACCAGCAGAAACTGAGGTAGAGGTGGATAAATCAGGTGGGGAAGGGCTCAGTTCCAACAGGGGACACAATGCAAGTGGACAGTGCTGAGGCAGCCAAAAGCACCATGGGTACTTCTGATGTCAGGAGAGAGTCTGAACATAACACTGACAGTTCTTCAGCTTCACTGGTTGAGATTCTGCACACATCTTAAGGGCACAGAAGATTAAGGCCACCCAGTCATGGTGGCAACAGTAATACTTCCTAAATCCTTAGTCCTCCCTCAGACAGTGCAAATACCTGGGACAGAAGAGCCGGGGCAAGTGGTCAAATCACAGAGCGTGTGTCTGAGCACGGTTAATGGTTGGACCCGACAATCTTAAAGGTCTCTTCCAAAAAAATATTCTCTGATTCTGAGCTCTACATTAAATTACTCGGATCATTGGCTGGGTATTTTGAAGTTCTTATTGCTCAAACTTGAGAAGAACCAAGGCAGCAGCAAGAAGGGGCCTCAGTGCTGCTGGGCAGCCCTTCCCCTGGCAGCTCTGCGGTCTTCTGCTTCTCAAGTGCAACAGTTGCTTTTCTAACCTCTTGTCTCAACTGGTCACTGCTCTTCATGAGATGCCACCAAGGGTCTGCCTTCCCCTCCTTATGTGCTGCCACTCAGGGTCTGTCTTCCCCTCCAACCTCCAGCCGAGCACCCTTCTCGCCTTCGACTGGCGGAACCGCCTCGGCGGGGCGGAACCCGCCTCCAGGCCCCAGGGGCCTTGGCCGCCCTCTCAGGGGACTCCTCCCGGAGCAGCAGCCCAGCGGGAGCCACGCTGCCTGAGGACTGGAAGAAAGCCAGTGTCAGCGGAACCCGCCTCCAGGCCCCAGGGGCCTTGGCCGCCCTCTCAGGGGACTCCTCCCGGAGCAGCAGCCCAGCGGGAGCCACGCTGCCTGAGGACTGGAAGAAAGCCAGTGTCAGTCCAGTCTTCAAAAAGGGCAAGAAGGACGACCCTGGCAACTACAGGCCGGTCAGCCTCACCTCCAGCCCTGGGAAGCTGATGGAGCGGCTCATTCTGAAGCCATCTCTAATCAACTGGAAGAGACTAAGGTTATCAGGAACAGCCAGCGTGGATTGACCAAGGGGAAGTCTTGCCTGACTAATCGGATATCCTTCTATGAACGTGTGACAAAATGGGTTCATCAAGGGAGACCAGTGGATGTCACATACCTTGACTTCAGCAAAGCTTTTGACACCGTCCCCCATAACATCCTCGTAGGGAAACTCAAGAAAGGTGGGACAGATGATTGGACCGTGAGGTGGATTGTGAACTG